ATTTAAACGCGATCGGCGACACGCTGTCGAGAGCGTCCGTAACGAGGATTATCGGCCCACCGGCTTGGTTCTGCATTCTCAAATAACACTCCGAGAAAAGCCGCACGTGGTCAAAGTCAACAGACGCTTTGTTGACACCGCTTGACAGCGCAGTTGATTGAACGGACATTTTACTTACCCTTCAAAGAGTTCGTACATAATTTGAGCTTTGTAACAGTAGTACCTTCTGGTTTCTGGCTCGTTTAGATGGGTTTCATGTTTCTTATTTTGAGTGACAGCTGGGTTTCCAAATCGGACAGATGTACCCAGTGTGATTTTCAGAAGGTTGTTCGATTTTCTCAATAGTTGCGACAATGGAGGGAAGGGAAAGCGATGGGGGAGGGGATGCGGTGATGTTTTCGTTTGCTTTGGTTTTAAATTCTATCTATTTTTCGCCATCATTTGATACTCAGTAACAGACCTTGTTATGAGGTGGTTTGAAAGGGGTTCTCTTAAGTGTAATTTATTTAAGAGTATCCGTTTTCGAGGAGGATGATATTTGAGTAGATTGCATCGTGTCGTGTCCTTAGTGTTTATATTTCCCCCTCCTTGCGTTTTCTTTCATTTTTTCGATTAGCAATTTTTCTGAGACACAATAAGCTTGAGTTTCATTCGGTTCATGTGGAGAATGAGCCCAGTATTTGTTAGTGTTTTGAATGAACTTCGTGATCGCTCGTTCTCTGGCTGAATGCTGTTTTTCAAGAGTTTCTTGTAGTTACAGAAAATCGCTTGTGTTGGGGTGTCAGCTCGGTCTTCTTTGCTTAGCAGCTAGAATTCTGCGAAAAGCGTAGAAGATGTCATGGGCTGGCTCATCTTCGACGGTATCAGTGTTCTTTATGTGTTGACACTATGTTTGTTGGTAAGTTCAACCTATTTGTTTGGTTACTTACTGTTTTTCTTACAATTTTTTTATTCCGTACCCATGTTTTATGATCTTTTTATACTAGGTGTTGTCATGATGCATTTATTCAATTATTCAATCTTAGTTTCCACATTTATGACCAGTTTCGTTAAAAATATGCCGAAGCGACCGCTCAGGACCATATTTGGATTTGCTAATAATTCAGAGTCACTCAACTTTTGATGTCTTCGCTGACATTTTGTGAATTTGATCGTTTTGACTTACATCCAGATTGCTAGAATGTGTTATATAAAAATATATATTGATGGCAAAGACACTTTATAGCATGCAGAACTTTTTAGATCTTCTTCTCTTTAGATATAAGCCGAAGTCGCTTAGTTTCTCAGTTATTCGAATATCCGGATTAACTCTGTCCTTCACTTTTCCCTGAGTCAACAAACCAGCCACTTTGGTATCGGTTTCACGTCTCTTCGTTCTATTTCTTATTGGATTTCTAGTCCTCTTTCCTCTTTTTCAACAGTTTTTTAAAAGCTTCCTGACAAATATTTATGAGTTCATGTAAATATTTTTGTTGTTGACGCTTTTTGGATCGTATAGCCTTTGTTTTTTTGAAGGAAATCAAAGCGTTATTGAATGGCACATGTTTTGCAGGTGAAAAGCGGAAAAGGATTTGAGTGATTCATCAATATTGTTTATTTATGAAAAATATTTATTATTAGTTCTGTTGTTACAATCAAAACAATATTGCTTTTGTTCATGTGCCTTATAACCGTTGAGTAATTCATGTGGATAATGAGTGTTTTCAGATGATAATAATAATGGCCATCTTCGTACAGCGGCAGATTCTACGACTTCGTAATAATAGTGCCAGACAGCGGCCGAACGTCTCATTACGGCCTATATCAAAAAGTCAGTCCCGTCCAAACCTTTCTGTTCCCTTTGAAAGTTTCGTCTTCGTTCTTCTCAAAAGTTCCTTTCTCGTGCTCGTCAATCAGTGCCACGCTTTTACTAGATTACTTCAAGTGTTTTGTTGAACGCATATGCCTAGCAACGCCGCTTTGGCTATAGTCGGCTTTATCGTTAATTTGAAGACGTTTGAACGCAAATAGGCAAGAACGAGGGAAGCTGAGAGCTTAGCACCAACGGGGAAACATAAGCTCTTCTGATGGGAACGGTTCTCGTTCGTTTTCAGCTGTGGTCGGGATTCTCCAGGCGAAAAATTGGCGTTATTAGATTTCGGCATCAAACTCTACTCAGTTACTAAGGTTGAATTACTTCTTTTGGTTGTTGTTTCTTCTAACTTTGGATATCATCCAAATGTTTTTGGGCAAAATCCAAGATTCAAACTTTGAGTGGCTAAGTCTGTGATGATTGTGTTTTGAGAAGAAATTGATTTTTCCTAATAATGCTTAATGACCTGTTTATAGAGTCATGTATTGGCATCGAACAAATGTTAGAGGCAGTGGGAACAATGCGAAAGTCGTATCTACCGCGGCTGACTGATTGTACTACGATAGGTCAACGTGAGTTTTCCGTCGCATCTGGCTCGATTTTTTAAAGATTACTCTTTGTTGATCATAATTATGTCAAATTTCAATTGACGATCCAAGAATAGCTTTTACGAATTTATTCAGAGGCTTCAATAACAATTTTTCTTGTCATTTATTCTTCACATTTGATGAGCCAGATTTTAACGTCGTTTTGTTTTGATTGCAAAACGCTTGTCACTCATAATTGAGTGATCCGATTTTCTTGTTTGTTTACGCCATGCCCATAGACGACGAATTTTCAGCT